GCAGGGTAATTAAAAAGTACACATAGCAACGTGTGAAATAATGTGTTTGGCTTGTCACTGAGAAGTGAAAAGTGATGTTCCTCAAAAAGAATTTGGCATGTGACCTGTTCTTGTTTGCTCGAGCAGCTTGTACCTTTTTTTTTACTTTAGGGAAGTCTATGGTGTTTTCCTCTTTTCCTCGAAAGATCCTGTCTTTACAATCCTGAGCAATAGCTTTGCCTCCTTCGGTAGATTCCTCAACAGGAAGTCCAATTCTGGTATGCTTCTTTCAAAAGAGATATTATGGAAGTGATGAATAAAGAAGCCCTGCATATCTTTCGAGAAGTGTCTGTTCATACTCTCAACTCAACTTTATACTCCAGGCATGGGCAAACTTTGGTCCTCCAGGTATTTTGGACTCCAACTCCCACAATTCCTAACAGCCTCCGGCCCTTTCCTTTTCCCCCTCAGCCGCTTAAGCTGAACCTGGAAAGTCAAGACCCCTGGGGAGGGGTCACCAGGGCAGTGTCAGAAAGGTCACTCAAGACCACCAGAAAGCACAGTATTTTCTGTTGGTCATAGGGGTTCTGTGTGGGATGTTTGGCCCAATTCCATCGTTGGTGGGGTTCAGAATGCTCTGTGATTGTAGGTGAACTATAAATCCCAGCAACTACAACTCCCAAACATCAAGATTCTATTTTCCCCAGACTCCACCAGTGTTCACATTTGGGCATATTGAGTTTTTGTGTAGAGTTTGGTCCAGATCCATCATTGTTTGAGTCCACAGTGCTCTCTGGACGTAGGTGAACTCCAGAACCAAAGGACACTGCCCACCAAACCCTTTCAGTATTTTCTGTTGGTCATGGGAGTTCTGTGTACCAAGTTTGGTTCAATTCCATTGTTGGTGGAGTTCTGAATGCTCTTTGATTATAGGTGAACTATAAATCCCAGCAACTACAACTCCCAAATGACAAAATCATAATTTTCTGAGTGATGGTTACTCCTTGTGTTGTGAGACGTTTTGTTGGCAAATTTGGTGTGATTTCGTTCACTGGTTCTTTTGTTTTTAAGGTACTCATTATGCACAGAGCATTTTTAGATAGATAGATAGATAGATAGATAGATAGATAGATAGATAGATAGATAGATAGATAGATAGATAGATAGATAGATGGGCAACTTTACCAAGGTTTCTCCCACATTATCCATCTGTTTTTAAGCCAACACAGCTTTAGGGCAGGCCAAATCTTCCACTGCACCCATTCCTGTTATCGAGGAATTTAGAACGGCAGTGGATTGTGAGATCCAAGCCGCTGTGGGTTTAGCCTGGTGAGAAAGAGAAGCCAATATTCCAGAATAAATCTCACCAAGTTGAAGCAGAAGCCACCGAGGTATTTATTTAATTTCAGCTAGAAGTGATGCCAGCTTGCGGTAGCCTGCTGAAAGATAGCTGAGATAGTGTTGGAGATCAGCCTGTGATTGTGTTTCAGGATCAGGGTGCTTTGGATGTAGGGAATGATGTTAATGAGGTTCAATATAAGTTTCAAGATGGCAATGGTTTGGTCAGTGATATTGATGCAGAGAATGACCAGGAGATCCCTGTAGTTTCCCATGAGAATGTCCCTGAAGGGTGTGGGGATGTACCTGCAGAAATTAATGAGCAAACAGATGACGAGCCAAGAGAGCAAATAGATAACGAGCCAAGAGATAGACTAGAAGAATTCAGTCAAAACAGGAGGGCTGTGCAAAGGCTTAGGCGATCTGCCGGGCGTCGGCAGAAAACAATAACAAAGCCTCAACTAAAGAAAAACCAATTTCTGACTGCTAGTGACAAGAGAATAAAAGTCTGCAGTGTGGGATGTGGAGTCAGATGAAGCATCATTTAGAATCATGCCAAGTTCTCGTTTATGGAAACCTTGCTTTGAAGTTTCATGCTAAGATATTTCTTGTTCATGGGTTTGGATTCTTATATTTCATGATTGCTTATCAAAGCCTTGGATCAATGTATTCCTGATTTTTTGGACTGTATTGGAGATGTGTGGACTTTGCTTTTATGGACGTTGCTGAACTCTACCTTGGACTAATTTGTTCCTGCTTATCTTCTTACCTAATTGGATTTACATGTTTCTTTAAAGTGCTTTTTACTTTGCTGCTTTTTACTTATCTATATAAATAAAAATGTAATGTTCATTTGTGGTATTCACAGAACTCAAAAACCACAGGACGAATTGACATCAAATTTAGACAAAAGACACCTAACAACCCAATGTATGTCTTTCACTCAAAAAATTGATTTTGTCATTTGGGAGTTGTAGTTGCTGGGATTTATATGTAATGTTCGTTTGTGGGATTAACAGAAATAAAAAACCTCTGGGGGAATCGGCACCAAATTTGGACCCAAGACACCTAAGAACCCAATGGATGTCCTTCACTCAAAAAATTGATTTTGTTCCTGTTCTGGAGTGCAACAGATACATAAAACAGTCAAACATGTACTTGTATACACTTTTCAGGTTCAAAATCCCCACCGCCCACAGATGGACCTGGCTTGTCTGTGGGTTGGCCAGTGCTGGATGATGTCAATGAGGTCTCCTTGTGGAGGTGGGAGTCCGACATGCCCCAGCCAATGGGAGAGCACTGCCAATGGTTGCAAAGGGGCTGGCAGGTCTTAGAACAATGGATGAAAAGATGACTGATATTGACAAATCTTCCCAGGATAAGGAAGTGCAGGCAAAAGGTGATGACCTTTTCCTGCCCTTCCTTGTCCTGAGAAGACTTCAGCTGGTGACTTCTCCAATAACTTCATAAAGTGATACGAAGCATAGACAAGATTATACATATTCACACATGAGGAGCTGTGGTTACAGGGGTACCCAGTTCTGGAGGCCTGGTCCCCACAGGTTAGGGGTACATATATAGATTGGGGCACATAAGGCTTCCAAGAGGCTCCTATCTCCCTGGATCCACTTATGGGGAATAAAAATATGAAATTATAGAAAAGAGTAGTAAGACATCTACTTGAGTGTCCCAGAAAGGCAAGGATATCTAGACCCTAGATGGACTGACACAGGTGATGGGACAGGGAATCCAGCACAGAGGAGGGAATTATGGTATAGGTAGTTATAGGATGGGAGAGAGAGTGGAAATGAATGGCAAAGGGGGGAAAGGAAGCAAAATGGGGTTTGGGATTTTTTAAGACTATATGTCTGTGTGTATTTTGGTAGGATATATTTTAGTACAGTATCAGTAAAGGTGAGTCAAAGATTATATCGAAAAGCAAGAATGGGCAGAAGAGATACATTTTGAGATGTGAGAAATAAGGGCAACGTTATAAAATATATTATTGGCTTGGCATTTCCCCTTTTGCTAGCCTTAGACAAAAGGTCTTGGAATGTGATTTCCTGGCTGCACTCTGCGTCTGCAGTAATCTTTGTGCTTAGAAATACAAAGTCTGTCACTGCCTCCACGTTTTCTCCCTCTATTTGCAAGTTATCTATCTGTCTGGTTGCCGTTACCTTGGTTTTTCTGCCAGAAGCAGAAACGACATGGAAAAACAAGGATAGATTCCTACACTGCAAGAAACCAAACACTTCAACGTGTTTCAGCAATATTTTGAATCAAAATGTCAACAATTAAAAGTGGTCACAAGTAAAAGCCCTGTTTTATATAGCTCTTGGAATAACGTCCTGAATTTATTTTAACTCAGCTAGAAAAAGTTGTCAAATAGGCACACATCACCATATGGATCTTAACAGCAGTGAGTAGGGAAGCCAGCAGCTCTTTCCTCCTGCACTTCCATAGCTTGAAGCAGGGTGAACATCATGCAGCTCTTGACCTTCCCACAGGATGACCCTCCTACTGAAAAAAAGGGAAGAAATTGGGCCCACATTTTTTACTAAAATTACTGTCTAATAGTATAGCTGGAGACCTAAACACTGTTTGGGGAGGCACTCTGAAACAGAAAAATGCTTACTAAAAATTCAGTTAGAAAATCCTGGAGTGTAGATAGGGACCACCGCTGCAGCTTGTATTTTTGACTTTCCTTGGCACTACAACCAATTAGTACTGTGAGCTCTCCTTCATATCATAACTCACCCCTATGCCCATGTGGGGAGGGGGCACATTTTGAAATATTGCCATAGTTGAGACAAGCCAGTGAGCAAGTTGTGCACTTTGGTTACAAGTCACCGAAGCAGGTCAACTCCTGCCCCGCCATGAAGCTTCAGTTTGTCATCGCAGAGAGACGCCTTTGTGTGATCCCAGCACAAAACAAAACAGACTTCAGTCCTTGAGTCAAAGATTGTATCGAAAAGCAAGAATGGGCAGAAGAGATACATTTTGAGATGTGAGAAATAAGGGCAACGTTATAAAATATATTATTGGCTTGGCATTTCCCCTTTTGCTAGCCTTAGACAAAAGGTCTTGGAATGTGATTTCCTGGCTGCACTCTGCGTCTGCAGTAATCTTTGTGCTTAGAAATACAAAGTCTGTCACTGCCTCCACGTTTTCTCCCTCTATTTGCAAGTTATCTATCTGTCTGGTTGCCGTTACCTTGGTTTTTCTGCCAGAAGCAGAAACGACATGGAAAAACAAGGATAGATTCCTACACTGCAAGAAACCAAACACTTCAACGTGTTTCAGCAATATTTTGAATCAAAATGTCAACAATTAAAAGTGGTCACAAGTAAAAGCCCTGTTTTATATAGCTCTTGGAATAACGTCCTGAATTTATTTTAACTCAGCTAGAAAAAGTTGTCAAATAGGCACACATCACCATATGGATCTTAACAGCAGTGAGTAGGGAAGCCAGCAGCTCTTTCCTCCTGCACTTCCATAGCTTGAAGCAGGGTGAACATCATGCAGCTCTTGACCTTCCCACAGGATGACCCTCCTACTGAAAAAAAGGGAAGAAATTGGGCCCACATTTTTTACTAAAATTACTGTCTAATAGTATAGCTGGAGACCTAAACACTGTTTGGGGAGGCACTCTGAAACAGAAAAATGCTTACTATTTTGAAATATTGCCATAGTTGAGACAAGCCAGTGAGCAAGTTGTGCACTTTGGTTACAAGTCACCGAAGCAGGTCAACTCCTGCCCCGCCATGAAGCTTCAGTTTGTCATCGCAGAGAGACGCCTTTGTGTGACCCCAGCACAAAACAAAACAGACTTCAGTCCTTGAGCTTGATCTGCCAGGAATTAACCCAAAGAGTCTTGCCGCCACGGCGGATCATGCAGGCGTATCGGCCTTCGCTGAACTCTGTGGCGATGATGCGGAGATCCTTGCTGGGAAGTAGCTCAAAGCCTTGGACGGAGCGGGAGAGTGGCTCCCCATCTTTATACCAGCTGCCAGAGAGGAGAAAGAGCACAGATCAGTCAAAGAAAATGACATACAGTGTTCCCTTGCTACTTCGCGGTTCGCCTATTGCGGACTCGTGGTTTTGCGGGTTTTTAAAAAAAGAATTTAAGTAGTGAGGGAACACTGAACGGTGGCAAGAGGCCCAAGCAGTGATGAAGAGGAGGGAGAGGAAGGTAAGGAGGGTGAGGGGGGAAGAAGAGCCACCCCCTCGCCCTCTTTACTTTCCTCTTCTTCCTCCTCCTCGTAATGTAATGATCATGGTTTCAAAGTATAAAAAAGGCAATACCCCCTCCCTTCTTACACCTGTGTGCAATTGGGCAGGACCCATCCTCCCAAACAATTCCATTTACTTAGAGCCTGTTTATATATCTGTGGAATGACCAGGGTAGGACAAAGGACTCTTGTTTGCTTCAGCTAGGTGTGAATGTTTCAACTGACCACCTTGATTAGCATTGAATGGCTTGAAAGTGCCTGGGGGGAATCTTTTGTTGAGAGTGATTTGATGTGCCTGATTGTTCCACAGATATATAAACCCATTTTCCTACTTCCAACAGACCTCACTACCTCTGAGGATGCTTGCCATAGATGCAGGCGAAACATCAGGAGAAAATGCCTCTAGAACATGGCCATATAGCCCGGAAAAACCTACAACAACCCAGTGATTCCAGCCATGAAAGCCTTCGACAATACATAGTAGAAGCTGCTGGAGATTCTCACCTGACTTTCACCTGGGGTCTGGAAGAGTTCAACCCACAACGGAAAGTCATAACCTTGCCTTTAGAGATGTATCTGATGTGTTCACGAGGAGGGTGGACTGGTGGAGACAAAGAAGGAGCAGCGGCAGCCTCAGGGTGCTCTGTAAGAAAGAGATAATCAATCGATATGGACAATAGATGATATTAGGCTTGAGCCCAAATCAATTTCAACCAAATGATTTGCAATATTCTGTGGTCCATTTCGTTTAATCTCCAAAAACAGAATGGGGAATGAACCAACATTAGCAACACTGCACATGATAATGTGGAATTATCTTTGAAAAATGTTCAGACACTCCTGCTCAAGAATGTACCAGCCATGTTATTAACTAAAATACACGGTTGCAAGCATGTTACTTCAGTATTTGAAAAACCTGAACTGGATGTTGGTTTGCTACTGGGAACTATTTATTTATTTACTAGCCGTCCCCTGCCAGGCGTTGCTGTGGCCCAGTCCGGTGGTCTGGAAAATGAAGTAATTAGAAAGTGTTGGTTTCTAATATATGTAATTTCTTTATGATTGTGGGTAAATAGTATTTCTTGCTGTTTCTTTGTCAGTGTTGATGTGGAGATTGTCTGGTTTGCCTACTCTGGAACATGCAAGATATTATTGTCCTTCTTTAGGGGTCCCTTTAAAATCTAGGATACTGTATCTGTGTGTGTGGGTGAATCATATATATCTATCTATATCTATGGCTGGATGGCTCTTTGTCAGGAGGGCTTTGATGACATTTTCTTGCCCTGGTGAAGAAGTTGGACTGGATGTTTGTTGTTGTTGTTCATTCGTCCAGTTGTCTCCGACTCTTCGTGACCTCATGGACCAGCTCCCTGTCGGCCGTCACCACCCCCAGCTCCTTCAAGGTCAGTCCAGTCACTTCAAGGATGCCATCCATCCATCTTGCCCTTGGTCGGCCCCTCTTCCTTTCACTAGAATACACTGAATACACTAGACTGGATAACCTTAAGTATTTTCTGTTGGTCATGGGGGTTCTGTGTGGGAAGTTTGCCCCAATTCTGCCATTGGTAGGGTTCATAATGCTTTTTGGTTGTAGGTGAACTATAAATCCCAGTAACTACAACTCCTAAATGTCAAGATCTATTTCCCCCCCCCAACTCCATCTGTGTTCATATTTGGGCATACAGGATATCCGTGCCAAGTTTGGTCCAGATCCATCATTGTTTGAGTCCACAGTGCTCTCTGGATGTAGGTGAACTACAACTCCCAAACTCAAGGTCAATGCCTATCAATGCCCGTGTAGGTCGTGGGAGTCCTGTGTGCCACTTTTGGTTCAATTCCATCATTGGTGGAGTTCATAGTGCTCTTTGATTGTAGGTGAACTATAAATCCCAGTAACTACAAGTCCTAAATGTCAAGATATATCCCCCACCCCCCACCCCAAACTCCATCTGTGTTCATATTTGGACATATAGGATATCCGTGCCAACTTTAGTCCAGATCCATCATTGTTTGAGTCCACAGTGCTCTCTGGATGTAGGTGAACTACAACTCCCAAACTCAAGGTCAATGCCCATCAATGCCCGTGTAGGTCATGCAGGGGCGGCTCAACCCATTACGCAAAGTAAGCATTTGCAGTATAGTTTATTTTGCCCAGGGACGCTCTTGAGGCGCTCTTGGAGGAAAATAGACCTTAACATATGCGAGTTGTAGTTACTGGGATGTATAGTTCACCTACAATCAAAGAGCATTCTGAACTCCACCAATGATGGAATTGAACTAAATATGGCACACAGAACTCCCACGACAAACAGAAAATATATATCAATGATTGGTTGGGGGGGGGGCCAAAATACTGTTTGCTTACCATTGAAAATTACCTAGGGCCGCCTCTGGTGTTCCTCATGAGAGTCCTGTGTGCCACATTTGGTTCAATTCCATCATTGGTGGAGTTCAGAATGCTCTTTGATTGTAGATTAACTATAAATCCCAGCAACTACAACTCCCAAATGACAAAATCAAATTTTTTGAGTGATGGTCACTCCTTGGGTTAGTAGGCGTCTTGTGGCCAAAATTGGCGGCAATTCATCCAGTGGTTTTTGAGTTATGTTAATCCCACAAATGGACATTACATTTTTATTTATATAGATTTATTTATTTATTTAGAGTATCCCGTCCTTCTCACCCCCAAAGAGGGATCAAGGCAGCTTACAACAAAATGTTGGTGGTGATTTACAAATCACTAACCATCTCTAGCCAGGAAGTCCCAACAGCCCAGGCATGGGTAAACTTTGGCCCTCCAAGTGTTTTGGACTTTCAACTCCCATAATACCTAACAGCCTACTGGAGGACCTACCTGGAGGGCCAAACAGCCTACCTGGAGGGCCAAAGTTTGCCAATGCCTGATGTTAACTGCATTGGATATTTGAACAGAGTAAATAATGCAGTCCATCAGGGGCTGCAGAACCTCTGATGGTGGGCAGCCTGAAATTTTGTCTTCCTTCTTTTTCAATACCCCACCCATCCGCTTTGAGTGGTAGTGCAAGTTGTTGCTGTGTCATTCATTCAGTCGTTTCCGACTCTTCGTGACCTCATGGACCAGCCTACGCCAGAGCTCCCTGTCGGCAGTCACCACCTCCAGCTCCTTCAAGAGCAATCCAGTCACTTCAAGGATGCCATCCATCCAGCTTGCCCTTGTTTGGCCCCTCTTCCTTTTTCCTTCCATTTTTCCCAGCATAACTGTCTTCTCTAAGCTTTCTTTTCTTCTCATGATGTGGCCAAAGTACTTCAACTTTGTCTCTAGTATCCTTCCCTCCAATAAGCAGTCAGGCTTTATTTCCTGGAGGATGGACTGGTTGGATCTTCTCGCAGTCCAAGGCACTCTCAGAACTTTCCTCCAGCACCACAGTTCCAAAGCATCTATCTTTCTTTGCTCAGTCTTCCCTATGATCCATCTCTCACACCCACAGACCACCATAGGGAATACGATTCCTTTGACCATGCGGATCTTTGTTGCCAGTGTGATGTCTCTACCCTTCACTATTTTATTGAGATTGGTCATTGCTCTCCTCCCAAGAAGTAAACGTCTTCTGATTTCCTGGCTGCAGTCTGCTTCTGCGCTAAGCTTTGCACCTAGAAATGCAAACCCTGTCCCTGCCTCCACGTTTTCTCCCTCTATTTGCTAGTTATCAATCAGTCTTGTTGCCATCATCTTGGTTTTCTTGATGTTTAACTACAACCCAGCCTTTGCACTTTCTTCCGTTAGCTTAGTTTGAAGGCTCCTCAGCTCCTCCTCGCTTTCGGCCATCAAAGTGGTATCATCTGCATATCTAAGGTTGTTAATGTTTCTTCCAGCAATTTTCACCCCAGCCTTGCATTCCTCAAGCCCCGCACATCGCATAATGTGTTCTGCATACAAGTTGAATAGGTTGGGTGAGAGTATACAACCCTGCCATACGCCTTTCCCAATCTTGAACCAGTCTGTTGTTCCGTGGTCAGTTCTTACTGTTGCTACTTGGTCCTTATACATATTTCTCAGGAGAGAGACAAGGTGATTTGGTATGCCCATGCCACCAAGAACTTGCCACAATTTATTATAATCCACACAGTCAAAGGCTTTAGAATCTATATAAATAAAAATGTAATGTTCGTTTGTGGGATTAACAGAACTCAAAAACCACTGGATGAATTGACACCAAATTTGGGGACAAGACACCTAACAACCCAATGTATGTCCTTCACTCAAAAAAATTGATTTTGTCATTTGGGAGTTGTAGTTGCTGGGATTTATAGTTCACCTACAATCAAAGAGCATTCTGAACTACTACAACAATAGAACTGGGCCAAACTTCCCACACAGAACTCCCATAAGTGACAGAAAATACTGGAAGGGTTTGATGGGCATTGACCTTGAGTTTTGGAGT